TGGTGCAAAAAAACCATAGTTGCAAAAAATTTTGTTTTAATCTAGCTCAATTCTAACCAATAGTAATTTTAACAAAACGACTTACCGCTATTTTGGCAAACATTTTATAATACAGGTATAATAATTAGTAATACTATGCACCACTATAGTAGACGTTATACTTATATGAAAACAATAAATACTCGCTATACTATAACAAATAAAATACTCTTTAAAAAATAATTAATAAATTGCATTTTAAAAGCACCTTTCTATGTGTGATTGCTACGTAAAAATAAAGGTAATTTTTTAATCAAATAATAAGTTATATAAATTAATGAATTAGTTTTTCCTAAGATTCGCTGTCAGTTTGACAGGCATTCTCTTAACGGTTAGTTCAGGGCTACAGTGACCAAACGTCAAGGTATTGCCTTGATTGTCAAGGAATGAGGGTAGCTGTGAAGGTTCAAGGTGCAATATTCAATATTCAATCATTTACAGGAAATTACTGATATTTTTATTTATTTCTTAACCTGTAATTTCAAATCAAAATTGCAAAAGATGTTTTGTATGGTATTACTTGAGCGCATATTAGTGTGTTCCAACTCATAAAATTTAGCACCCTGCCCTGCCCTGCAGGCGCCTGCATTGGCCTACATATAGAAAAGTGTCTAGAAAATCATCTTAAGGCCAATTTTGAGTCTTATGTATTATGTATCCCCCAATATAGTGAAGGATTCCGGGACGGGCCGTCAGTGGGGGTTGAGGGAGGAATGTTTGTTTAGGGAGCCATTTATATGTAGTACAGCTTTGTACAGATAATACGCTTTAATTTAAATGTTACCTAATGTCACCCAGCCCTACCCTGCAAGGCCTTGAAGTATACCCTGCCCTGCACGTACCCTGAGCAGGGTGCAGGCCCTGCAGACCCTGCAGACCCTGCATGGAACACCCTAGTGCATATCACGGAAATCAATAGAAAATAACATTATATTTAAAAATATTTGAGATTACGGTACAATAATAATGGATAAATAATTTATACAAATACAGTATTTATGAAACATAGTTCGTTACACCACTGAACCTGTAAGAATTCAATATAATTTTACATATATAATTTAGTAATAATGTCCCTCATTTGAATGTGCCTGGTTATTGTACAGCACAAGATTTCTGACTCTTGACCCGGGGACATAGGACGGCACGTACGGCCTCATCGAACACATTCGTAAGGCCTTCCCGTGTGAGGGCCGAGCACTCCAAGTACTTAACGGCGCCGATATCCTTAGCCATAGCCTTGCCCTTCCTGCGTGTAATGGGTGTCTGTTTGCGACATTTTAGTCTGTCCAGTGTTTTGGGATCGTCCCGGAGGTCCAGTTTAGTGCCCACCAGTATTATGGGTGTGTTGGGACAGTGGTGTCTCACTTCGGGATACCATTTGATCCGTACGTTTGTCAAAGACCAGGGGTTGTCCACTGCATAGCATATGAGAAAGACGTCGGTTTTTGGGTAGGATAGGGGTCGCAGTCGGTCGTAGTCCTCCTGACCGGCCGTAAGCCAAATGCCCAGATTAACGGACTCTCCGTCGACAACCATCTTATGATCAAAGCTGTCAAAAACGATGGGAATGTATTCATTTGGGTAGATGTCTGTCATGTATGTCCTCGCGAGGTATGCTTTACCCACAGTTCTGAAAAAGGTGACAAAACATAGAAAATAATTAGATTCATAATAGTTTATGGCTTTTATTTAATAAGTATGAATTAATTATAATTAGAAAATTAAGTTATATTAATTTATAAATTCATACCCGTCCCCAACTAATACACATTTAATTTCATGCATTTCAGTGCAATTATTAATGTTATAATGAGTTTTATTGTATGATTATGTGTGAATGAGTCAGTTATGTAAGCAATGATTACATAAATACCAGGATTGGACTATTGATAAGGAATTTATAAACACTATGATCCAATATTCCTTATCTAAAAGTAAAATTATAATAAACTTCCCTTGCATTATTATCATATTAAATTTAGTTAAGTTCCTTGGACTTTATTCTTATAGAGTATTATTGGCAAAATAACATGTTCAAAAATTACAATCAATAATTTCTATTTTAATACAATTTGACTTTAATAACCTGTTTAATTAACTTGTTAATATTACAACTGTTTTGCCTAAAAATATAAATAATATGTTTGATTTCTACATAAAATAAAGTTACTTAAATTAAATAATAATAATACTTTAATTTAATAAGTTCAATAATTATAATTTAATTAAAAGAAATAAAGTTAAAAAAGACCATGGTTATTGCAGAGCGCATATAGCCTTAGTTTTCTTAGTGCGTTGGTCGGCACGTATGCCCTCATTGAACACATCATTAAGGCCTTCCCCTGTGAGGGCCGAGCACTCCACGTACTTAAAAAAGACCATGGTTATTGCAGAGCGCATATAGCCTTAGTTTTCTTAGTGCGTTGGTCGGCACGTATGCCCTCATTGAACACATCATTAAGGCCTTCCCCTGTGAGGGCCGAGCACTCCACGTACTTAACGACGCCGATATCCTTAGCCATGGCCAGGCCCTGGGGGTAAGTAATGGGTGCCATTTTGCGCTCCTTAAGCTTCTCCAGTGTTTTGGGGTCGTCCCGGAGGTCCAGTTTAGTGCCCACCAGTATAATGGGTTTGTCGGGACAGTGGTGTCGCACTTCCGGATACCATTTGATCCGTACGTTTTCAAAGGACGACGGGTTGACCACCGAATAGCATATGAGAAAGACATCGGTTTGCGGGTATGATAGGGGACGCAGTCGGTCGTAGTCCTCCTGACCGGCCGTATCCCAGAGGTCCAGATTGAAGGGCTTTCCATCGACCATCACATTAGCGGAATAGTTAACGTCGGTCATCCAACTGGATGAAGTGCAGTCACTGGGAATAAGTCTGCCCGTGGTATAACTTATTAATAGACATGTTTTACCCACAGCTCTGAAAAAGGTGAAAATGTGGACATTTTTATATGTGTAGCAGGGTATACGTTACTTTAAAATATGTTATAATAAATATGTATTAATTATAAAAATGTATGAATATATACCCGTTACCAACTACTACACACTTAATTTCATTCATATCAATAACATATTAATGTTCAACGGTATGGGATATAAAAAAGTTAGTCAAAAATTACTATACTTATAATATTTATAATACTCGCACACGATTAATAAATACAATATTTTAACGCCTATTTATCTGACTAAAACACAACAGAAATAATTTCATTTAAATTGATATTTAATCAGATAATGACTACTAAACAATTCGTAGTCCTGAAATGTGCTATACTATCGCATTATAAAATGTATTTGTTTCGCCAAAAAGTGTGACACAAAACTACGCTCGCAATGCTATTGAATGAGAAGCTCCAGGAAATCCCTTTTATGACTACTTCTTGTATAGTCTTTACACCCGTTCCCGACGACTACACTCTTAATGACATGCTTTTCAATGAATTATTAGTTTTATTGTACGTATGAATGAGTCGATTATGCAAACAGTGATTACATAAACTTGAATCAATGGGACTACCTTATTACTCCAATATTATTTAATGTTGTTAATAACATTATTCCCATATTAACTTGTCCATGTTAATAAATTGCATCTCATACTTTCTCTATTATGAAAATTTCATTTTTCTCTAATGATTCCGTAAATTAGTTTAAATAAATATCTAAATTATATTTTATAGAATTATTGTATAAATATTCTGCTTTTTAAAAATACCATGCTGTTTTATTCCTGTCTAAAGCAAGACAATTCTCGATTTATTAATAAAATGTCTCAATTAAATCATACATAATGTGTATTTTTAAACTTAAATTTTTAATCATTTAGTATGTAAATAGCTAAAATAAAGGGTTATTGATTCACTTTAATGGGTTAAATGTCAAATTAATGATCTTGCTTATAGTATAACACAGTGCTTCCTTTTATTAGGCTTGACCTGAGGACATGGGACGGCACGGACGGCTTCATTGAACACATCCTTAAGGCCTTCCCCTGTGAGGGCCGAGCACTCCAAGTACTTAACGGCGCCGATATCCTTAGTCATGGCCAGGACCTGGGGGTAAGTAATGGGTGTCTGTTTACGTTCCTTAAGCTTGTCTAGTGTTTCGGGATTGTCCCGGAGGTCCAGTTTAGTGCCCACCAGTATAATGGGTTTGTCGGGACAGTGGTGTCGCACTTCCGGATACCATTTGATCCGTACGTTTTCAAAGGACGACGGGTTGTCTACC